AAATACATTTGAAAAAACCCACCCTTTTTAAGGCTCTGCTTTCTTTCCTGGTTTTAGTACAATATTTCAATATTCAGAAATTTAGCAATACTATCTGCAAATTTAATTTCCCATGATTTAAGAAGCATTACTTACCTAGATTCAGCAGAAGTAAAAAGTGTCAATTAATTTTTTGTTTCTTTGCCTGCTAGCTTGTTTTTCATGATTCTAAACCACCCATCGCCCTGAAAGTGGGGCTCTGTGAATAGTGCAATATAATATAACTGATAAATTAAAAAAACATAAAACTATATTGATATCCATATAATTTACTGCATTTGTTGTGTGCAAGTGAAGAGACAAGGGTCGGTAATCAATCCATTTCCAAATAGTTCAGTTTTGGGAGTTGATTTATTGGGCACAAAATTCCAGGATGATTTTCACTCTAGTCTAGAATCTAAAGATTTTGATTCTGCCTAACGAGGTTGTGTTTTTACACTGAATACAAACTACAAACATCACTTATAACAACAGCAGGTGCACTTTCTAGGGCTCCCAGTTACCTACTTCTCACAAATGAATTGCAGGCATACAAAGGAGTGATCAAATCATTCATACCATATACATTTAATGTTTCCCTACATTGCCAACAAAAGCAGTCCTCTGTTTAAGATTTAGCACCAGCTCTGAAAACAGAACAAGCATGATAAAAATCTTCATTAGCAATATTATTGACAAGCCTAACAAAAACATAACAAAAGTAGAAATAAAACAATGGGAACTTAAAAACACATGATGAAATACATTCTATTCTGCACTTGCAAGCGACTTTAAAGAAATTATGTCACTGCTGATCAAATAAGACCATATAATCTATATAAGGTAAAACAATTCTTCACCTGATACAAAAATCTCTTAACATTTTGTTAGTTGGGTAACAAATTGACTTGTGCTGTGTGTAGATATTATGCATAACAATCTAGTCTTTCTAAGCCTACGTCTTATAGAAACATGACTAAAACAACTTGTTTTTCAAACAATTTTTGAGAGGCCCTTCATTAATTCTTTTAGTTCATCTTTCATATCTTGCTCGGAAATTGATGCCATTTTCTGTAGCTAGTATAGCTCCATCATTCAAAAACTTTTGGCTGCAGACAACTTGGTTCCTTTGAATGGCATATTCTACCTTATTTCTAACAAAAAGTAAGCATCACATCACATGTATGTTCTTTGCTCTCTAATGGCTTGTTTGTAGATGTAGGGAGGGAAATAAACTACGGTGATATCTTTATTATCTGCAGATAATTGGATTCTATAGTTTTGTAGAGGCCTGGCAGAAACTTTTATCCTTTATTTCTACATCTTGACTACATTCAGAAATGGCCTCAATGTCTTTTGCTTACTGAAAAAAATGTCTGATTCTTGCCTGCCTTATCTTAACCAATTATGCCAATGCAAATGTAATGGTGCAATTTTATCTAATGAATAGAATAGTATGGTGGAGTCTCATTACTGAGTCTTCATACATGTCTATGAAAATATCCTCAGCCATAAGTCTAACATAGTAGTGTTTTGCAACAACCAAGCTTAAAAATAAATGGGGACGTTTAATATCCACCAAAATATTTCAACTCTCTCTAAAACATCTGGCAGAGCTCTAGTTGCAGCAATATCTCCAAACAGCCCTCCTACTGGATTATTTTACAGTAGAGTCCGTATAAGTATATAATTCTGTTTTAAATCCTCTTCCTTCCTGCATCCTTAGTGCCCCTTTTTCTTCTTCTCATTGTCTCCTTAGATTATCAAATACAAATACAGCTATTCTGATTGATTGCTAATGTTAGGCATCATTCATTTCTTCAATTACCATATAGAAATGAATTTAATTATTTATGTACTGTATGAATGCGTATTTCTCTAGGGCAGGCAGTTGAGCATCATATACATTTAATAAATCATTAACATCATTTGTTCAATTTAATTGGGAAACTCTAGTTTCTAGTAGTATGAGGAAGAAAAATCTTTCTATATATGTTTGTGCAGAACAAAATTTGTTATTTTAATACTTATTCTACCATTGAGAGTCTTTTGCAAATCTTTGCTGCCTTTTTTGTCTTAACTTTTTAAACAATTTGGTGTTGTCCACAAATGTAACCATTTTATAAACATCTAGGTTAATTCTTTGGGAATAATATTTTAATATTACTATGTTTATTTTAATTATTTTTTCTTATATACAGAGCAAAAGTATTTAAAAACTAGCAGTGATGAAACCTGATGTATTCCATATTATATGAGTGGAGGGAAGTAGTGGGGTTCCTCACTTTTGTCAGCCAAGAAATGTTGTTTTAACAAATCTATTAGTCTTCAATGATGGGCAAATGCTGAAGGCCTCCCTTCCTTGAGAAAACAGCCCCCTTTCTGCTTCCTTGCATAATATGCTAACACAAAAAAAGCTGACAATTATTTGACACATTAGGGCATTTCTATGTATACCTATTCAAGAATTTTGCAACCCCAAACTGCTGTTTTTATCATACTACCGGTACTATATGAATACAAATACATTTTAATTAATCCTTTTGGGTATACTTTAAATGTTAAAGTAAACCATATTTAACTCCTATAAATTTAAACTGCTGTCATCCAATATAGATGGATTTAATTCTGAAATGTATATGCCACATATATACAGTTGGGTTCAAGTATTTCGGATCAATCTGATTTGAGAACTGGATCTAGTTGAATGTCCTTCTCCATATTGGATCTGTAACCCTTTTTATTTTCAACGAACAACGTGGGGGCAATAAAAAGCATGCATTTATTACAGGTGAGGATTATTCTAAGTTTCATTTCGCATGGCCTGGGAGATCATTTTTAACAAAAACAATATCCCACATATACAGTTGGGTTCAAGTATTTCGGATCAATCTGATTTGAGAACTGGATCTAGTTGAGTGTACTTCTCCATATTGGATCTGTAACCCTTTTTATTTTCAAGGAACAATGTGGGGGCAATAAAAAGCATGCATTTATTACAGGTGAGGATTATTCTAAGTTTCATTTCGTATGGCCTGGGAGATCACTTTTAACAAAAACAATATCCCACATATACAGTTGGGATAAAGTATTTCTGATCAATCTGATTTGAGAACTGGATCTAGTTGAATATACTTCTCCATATTGGATTTGTAACTCTTTTTATTTTATTTTATTTTATTTTATTTTATATTTATTTATTTATTTATTATTTATTTATTTATTATTTATTTATTTATTA